CGACCGGGAGCACAGGGTCAGTTACAAAAGGTTTATCTTTTCAGCACTAAACAGAAAATCTCGTTTCACTGCTTGTAACAGAAAAGCTTTCTGAAGTCAACTGTTTCCTGTATTCTCCGCCTGCATACCAGAGGAGCGATCTTGGAAGAGCAATCTTGCAAGATGAAGAGAAGAGTTAGAGAAGAGGAAGAAAATTCCCTACTACCCGGAGAAATGCTTTGCTTTCTATTTGCCAGGTGTTTTTCCTCCTTAAATCCTCCTGCACCCTAATACGTTTTTTCAGAAGATCAACCAATCCTAATGAGCAGGGCTGTTTGTCATTTCATACATTTCCTCAGGAGTTTTCGTGGGAGTGGGGACTGCACGGTCCTTTTCCGTTTGTGCTGACACTGTGCAGCTGAGGTCGGTTTTTGCTCCTCCAAAACTCCCCAGTTACCTATTCTGTGACTCTTTAATGCAGGTACTGAATTATTCAACATGTGGATCTAAAGGGCAGGTTATAATAAAAAGCTCTCTGCTCAGTGCCACGCATAATTCTGAAATAAAAGTTCAGCAAGCTGACAAATTGGATGCACTTATTTGGGGGAATTTTTGTAGAGATCCCTGAAACATGGGTCTGCATAAGGCCGTGCGAGTCCCTGTGTCTAGGGACTGCAGTGTGAAAACAAGAACCATAAATCATAAAACATGGCAGCACTGAGTCCTGATACAGAATTATAGAGAACTCCCTGAACGCCTACATGGAAATCCCTGTTAGAACTCAACTGTCCCCAGAATGCCCGCGCCTGTGCTTTTGTGGTGCAGATGTCTGAATTTCCTTTCTGAGGAGCTCCCAAGGACCAACCCTGTAATGCCTAACACACCCAAGAGCAGGGCCCTCTGGGAGCCGGTCACAGTTGGCGAGGCACACACACTTGGCGGTGCCACCCGAAAGCTCCCAGGCTACACGCCCTTTGGGTGGCCATGGGTGGTGAGCGTGCAGGTGTCAATGGAGTCTTCTGCATTTTGCAATTACCTCCCTATGCCACTGTGCTTAGTAACTACTGCTGCTTCGGAGACCAATTTAGCATAATCTACTTATGTGGGTGTTAACTCATATGGGGTTTACAAGCTGTGAAAGCTATGTCAAGTCACCAGATGAGATGGGCCAGGGGCCTGGAATACCAGACCGTGTCTTTCACCTTGGGGTCAGCGATGACCAAATGCTCTTGTTATCAAGTCCTCCACCTGCTAACGATGAGTAGTCTCGACCCACTTCCTGGTTGGAAAAGGGCCAGTAGCCCTTGATACAGCTGCTTCTAAGATTATTTTCATCAGAGGTGAGAATAAAGAATGAAAGAGACCCCACTCTGAACGCAGACACATGTCTACCTTTAAAGCAGTCATCGACTGTACTTTTACTATCACACAGGAGTCAAAAGTAGATCTTAAAAATGCCATGTAATTAGGTACCAGCTATACTTTCAGTAAATTATCTAAATTATTGATCTTTTATCAATGATGCCCATAAAGGTACCTTCAATGTTTAATCAGATAGAATCAGGTCTGCCATTAAAATCATTTGGATCCAATGCAAGAGTAGAGGTCTATCTTCTATATTTCTAGATCCTTACAAACTATAAATTTAATCAAGAAGCAAATATAATCGCCTCCACTTTTTAGATATCCATTTAAAATCTTTTCTTGATGGTGATTTGTTTTGACTTTCATAAAACTTATTTGGTATGAAATTATTGCAGACCAGGCTAGGTGTTCCCCTCCCCACTCCCCCAGTATTGGGGATTGGACTCAGAGATTTTGCACTGAGCTACGTCTCCAACTCTCTCAAATCTTTTAAAGTTTTGAGGCAGGGTCTTGCTAAAATTGCCCAGGTTGGGCTAGAACTTGTAATCCTCAGAGCCAAGTGTTCTTAAAGCCTAAATTCACAATGGCCACCACACTTGGCAGCTCTGAGCATCTGCTAAAAGGGATGAGCATTTGTCACCAGCAGGTTGTAGGTCATCTTTGCCTCACGCACACTCCCAAGGAGCTGCTTTGCATGTTTCACCAACACTGGGCAAGACTAAGTACATCACGAGTGGATTTAATACATCAATTTGAAAACTGTAGCCTCCTTAGTTAAAAATTACCTGCTGATGGATGTAAGTCTAATGTGAGTAATTAACCTTGTTGTGAGATGTAAAAGTCAACTTGCTCACTGAATCACTTTTCAGGGTTTAACCCTCTCCTAAGTGCACGTGCCCACACCTTGGTATTAGAGAAAGGATGATAGAAAAGTGTCTTTTGGTGAAACGGCCAATACAAATGAAAATAAAACACTTGTTGAGGAAAAGGGCCTATTTCTTGTGGAGGGACTGCATATCTTGGTACTGTTCAAAGACAGATGGTGAAAACCAGAACTTCTTAGGAAGACTGCACAGGTTCCTATTGTGTTGGTCTGGGCAGGGAATCATGTAAAACGCTTCCCAGGTGCTGCTAATATTCAGCTGTGTGGTCCAACAAACTTCTTTCTGGAATGTTGTTCTAAGAGTGGTCATTAGCCAAGAGGCAGGCCAAACAGAGAAAATCACTGGCAATGTTTCAGGAGGCAGTAAAGGTCCTTTGTAGGGCCTTTGATATTATAGAAATTATAGAAAGATGCCACATTTCCTTCCTTTCCCCCTCGCTCCCTCCCTCTCCCCTCCTTCCACTTCCCCCCACCAGTGCTGGGGATAAAACACAAGGCCTGACACCTACTAGGCAGGTGCGGTGCCACTGAGTATGCCCCATCCCTACATTTTGTTTTACCCCTATATCTTTAAGGTCATGTGTTGCATACAAATGACTTTTACTATGTGAGTCTCCGTGTCTTAGAGAAAGACCTCTATGTGACATCCATTAAGAGGCAGGTGAGAGAAGAAGCAGAACTCAAAGACAGCAGGCCAGGAAATGGTCCCACAGGATGGCCAGGTTCAAATCACCCAAGAATCTACAGAAGCATGGGCCAAAGAGATAGCTCAGCAGACTAACGCCTCTGTTTAGGCAATGTTAGGTAAGCTCAGGGACCACAATTAGATCCTCTGCACCACATGTGGCACCAGCACCACCCCCAAGGCAGGCTGAGCTGGCCAGACTGGGCATAGTGGTGCATGCCTGTAGTCCCGGTGCTGGGGAGGCTGAAAGCAAGTGGATCACTGTGAGTCCAAGCTGCATAGTGAGACCCTGCAACAACCAAATACATTTAAAAAAGAAAGAAAGAAAGAATCAGTTATGTGTAATTCCATAGTCAGGAATACCCCAAAAGGCTAATACTAGATAAGAGGTATTCCCCACATACTTCCTGGAGTGCCTGACACCTATGGAAAAAGCAGGATGATTTCCTTCTACCCTGCATCTTTGATTATTGAAATGCATGCTTGAGTCCTGTTCAACTGACTGTTGCCTTGAAATGATTATTTAATTTCCTGCCATCATCTCCCCCTCACAAACCAAACCAAACCAAACCAAACTCTCATAAAACCTAAAAGGAACCAAAATGGTGCAAAGCAGCCAATTTAACAGTATTAAGCTAACACTATGTGACCAGTGGCATCTGCTCGAAGTTACCTTCTAACGCTCACTTGACACGCACTTAAAGTTATTTTCTTTTTTTTAATGGAGGTTAACAACAGAATATTTACTGAGGGGGAAAAAAGCTTCTGTCCAAGCGAGGGACAGAACAGGGACCCAAGTGTGTTGCCCCCAAAGCTATTTTCTAACAATAAGAATGAGCATAAGATGGAGAAATTTAAGAGAGAGGAGAGAAAGGCTCGGGAGTCCCCCTGCAGCAGGAGTAATCCAGATGCTAGACTCTTACCCCAGTACAGGAAAGGAAGGAATGGGGTAGATTTGGAATCTGGAAAGTGATTTGAAAAGAAACAATTGCTGAGTTTGGCAGGAGAGTGTGTACGAAGGCAGCGCTACGTGTCGGCACAGGGCCACACTGTGCTTTTCAGTCACATTTAATCTTCCCAATAACCTTGCAAGATGACATAGTTGTGTCTATTTTACAAGAGAGAAGACAGGTGCTCGGCAGTTAGGCCTGTCCACCCGCCAGAGAAGAGCTCGGCCAGGAGTAGAAGCGGCATCCAAACAGGCTGAGTGAGTCAGGCTATCTTCCCTCAGCTGGGCTTGTGGCTCAGAGACAGAACATCAGCTTAGCATGCACTCAGCCCTGGATTCAATCCTCAGCACCACGAAAGCAAACACAATTACTCTCTGCTGTTTCTCCCATCATTCTGTGGTACACTGCTGACAGAAAGCAAAGGGAAAGACTGGAAAAAGGAAGACGAGCAATTCTACTACTTCTAATTATCTTTGTGAAAAAGAAAATCAATTTTTGATGTATACAAGTATCAGGTTGGAGAAAGGGCAGGTCTCATTAGATGATTTTATAAAAACATACTTATGGGACAGCACTGTCTAATAGAAACAATAAGAACCAGATATGTGTCATTTTATATTTTCTAGTAGCCACCTTAGAAAATCAAAGAAAATAAGTGCAATGCATATTAATCACATATCTTATTTAATGCAGCATATTATTCCAATATGAAATCCATCTATAAATTATTGAGATATACACCTATATTTTAGTCTTAAACCTTTAAAATCTGCTGTGCACTTTATACTTAGAGGACGTACTTTAATTTGCATGGGCTACTTTCCAAGTGGTCAGTACGTGGCTACTGGCTACCTTAAGAAACAGCACAGGCGCAGAGCTTGAAGAGATCCATGATTTGACGTGCGCTTAGGGAGTGGATTAAGAAGGCCCCCAAAGAGGATACAAATACTCAGGAAAGATAGACAATGAAAGGGCCCCAACGAGACGCTGTGAGGACTTTACCTGAAGCTGCAGCACCCAAATAAGGAAAGCGGGAAGTGACCTGGGGGCCAGGAGCGCCATGCTGCTGGCCAAAGAAAAGCAGTTAGGTCATCGCATACATACGCCGCATGTCTGACTGTCCCGGTTTTCGGATTACCTGGACTCGGGGTATTTGGTGAGGGTAGCCAGGCTGCTGGTGTACATGTGGCCGCCCACGTCGATGTGGACGGGTGCATTGGACTTGGTGAGCTGTGCTGGAGTAGGGATGCCTTGGTTGTTCAGTGGAGATGCGGGGGACCTGGTGAGCAGGGGTCTTGACATATTGGGCCGACTGTCCTACAGAAAGAGAAGCAAATTTAGACACTGTTTTCTTTTTAGAGGAAAGGAAATACAGAGATCATTTAAAAACATAATGGGCCAGCCAAATAGCTCAGCGGATTAAAGTGCCTCAAGCAGGCACAGAGGCCAGGGGTTCGATCCCTGGGCCTGCCATGCTGGCCCTGCCTGTGGGGCGCACGGAGACAGCAATTGAGACTGGGTGTGGTAGCGCACACCTATAATCCCAGCACTTGGGAGGCTGTACACCAGCAGATCACTATGAGTCTGATCTAGTAGTGAGACCCTGACCACCCTGTAGACCCTTCCCTAAAATACAGAAACAAATAAATAAATTTAAAAAAACATAATAAGCCAGTGACTAATGTTGACATTCACTTGGTAATAAAATGGAGAAAAACAGCAAGCCTTCTTGCTTTTGTTCTAATGATGATCAGAAAAACAAATTTTATACCAATTTATGTGCTTGGGATCCAAGAGCGGTTCATTTCAAGTAATTCTGAAGACTGAGGGTTTCTTATAGTAATGATGTCTTACATTTAACAAATGGTAAGTGGCGCATGGAGAAATTCTACTCACCCCAAATGAAAAGATAATCAACGCTTAAAATAACACAGACACAAATTAAATACATATGATTTGTTCTTCATTTTGAAGACTTCCTCATTGCTATGCGCTTGGAATAAGAACAGACCTTCAGCACTTGCGTTCTACAAGATGCTTTCTTAAATTTCTATTTTTTGAATCTGGAAAAAGAGGGCATATCAGGTCTCACCACCAAGTTACATAAGTTGCAAACATGTAAGTTTATCAGTCAACAGATCCGAAAATATCAGCCAACACCCCTGTTTCTCACTCTCGAGGGCTGTGGGGATGGGGATGCTCGGAAGCGAACACACCCTCAAGTGACACATATGTGCTTGGAACAACCTAGAGTGAGCTGCTCTTCTGTACCTGACTCCGTGGAGAAGCCGAGCTCCCACAGTGGAACCGAGGCAGATGCTGCTGGGGGAGCATGGAGTGGGGCGAGCCACGGAGCCGAGCCCTGGGAGCAAGGCGACAAGGATGCGGACTGCACCCAGTGGCAGCAGGAGCAGGCTTAAGACACTGCATTCACGAGAATATAAAGTAGCACATCCTTCCCGTGGGTGATACAATGTGGCTTACACACTATCCAAACATCACTGATTCTTTTAAATTAGAGCCCAAAACAGACACATGAGACCTGGTCTCCTGCACTCAGAGGTGGTCAAGCACTTAGTCTACTACTGTGGAAAAAGCGCAAGCAGCATGTGCACGTATTCGGCAAAGCTGACAAGGCAGCACGCTCTTGGAGCTGTGACTTAGATACTGTTTCCTAAGGAGGTTTTGAGAAATGTCTTTGATGCAGCTTACAAAGGGGAAACGCCTAGTCTTTGTGCTTCAAACGCAGCCTGGTAAAATAAAACTTGTACAACATCACAGGTTTCACAACGTGCAACAGCCCGAGGAGCTACCTGGGGCACAACCGGCGGGTTACTTAGCAGGAACCCCATGTCCTAGCACGGCTGCAGCTGTGGGGCTTCCAGCAACTCCAAGCCCACCAGGAACGGGGTGGCGACTGGGCCTTTGCGCCAAATGTTTGCCATCTGTGTGGTATTTTTCTGCACGCTGACTTAGCCCGAGCTCAGAAAAAGCATCATGGTTGCGTTTTTAAACTGGGAAGTAGCATCGTGGGCATTCACTATAGTATTCGCCTTACTTCCCTGTGTATTTTCAATAATGTAAAAGAGATTAAAAACACAAAAGGATATTTGCAACTCACAAAGTGATCGAGTTAAAGGGGTACTTGGAAGAGAGAAAAATGGAAAAAGTCACAGACGATACAGACATACAAGAGTTAGAAGTATTAAAAGTAGCATTTTGGATTTGGATGACAGCAAACACATTTTCCCCTCGGAAAAGCAATCATATAACATCTACTTCTAAGGGATACACACTACCTTGCTCTTAGAAAATGAGTTCCTGGCTACACGTGCATGCACACACACACACACACACACACACACACACACGCACCCATGCACACTCCCCTGTTACAATTCTGTCCATCGCAGCACTGCAGAGTCTGTAATAGTTTTTCAATTGGACACGTTCTATATCCTGCCTGAGGGTGCTCAGGCGAAAATGAACAGATTTGCAGGGTTAATATTGTCGTTAGACTGTGACCTCATTCAGCACAGCTCCAACACTGCGAGGTCTGTGTAGAAAGAGAAAAAATGAAAGCATAACCAATTGGTTGAAGGATTCCAGATTTCTCAGAATATATACCATTTACATTGTAAATCATAAATGGATGGATATTGCTAAATTTAAAATTAAGGCAGTGCTTCTTCTGCCAGGGGTGGGAGTAGGGATTAACCCTTCGGGCTGAGGATTAGGAGTGGGCTTGCTGAGCGCCCCTGGCTTGCTTTCTCTCCTTCCCAAGACTTCTCCCATCTTCTCCGTGTACCCTTAAATAGGATCATTTCTACGGCATTACCTGACATTAACTAACAGAGTCAAGGGGATTCACTCACTACTGTTCTGTATGGATCCAAACTGAAAGAGTTTTTAAAGTTCACAGGCTGGGGCTGGTGAGGATCTGGGGGTGAGGATGTCTTGCACTTGTGATAGAGATGGGGGTTGCCAACTTCTATCTCATCCGCTTGAGATGCTTCACCCGATGCCTTTGTGGAGATCCTCTCCCCTTGTCAGGGAGCAGAGTTGACACTTCCTAGTCTTTATCTAGACTCCAAATGCTTGGATGGGATGCTCCTGCCCCCCATTCCCAGCATCCTCAGGAAGAAGCCAGTGCCCAAGGTGGCAGTGCTGAGGACCTTCCTGAGAATGTGCAGGTGCTAATTCAGCCAACTCTGGGCCTTCTAGCTCTAGAGTTTTGTAACTTTGGAAAATAAATCTTTACTTTTAAAGCTACTTTGTGTTGTCACCCATCCTGGTAGAGTAGTTTTTCCTGTCCACAGCTGCCTTCTCTTGAGGCTGCCTGGCTTTGGGAGACCCAGCCTGCTTCCATGGAGAAAGCAGCATTTTCTGTTATGTTATCGCCCTTCTTCAACTCTACTTTCCATCTGTCTTTCTCTTTAATCCTTCAGCATCATCCTTGTAGGTTGTATTTATCTTTCAGGATGACTTCTGAAGACAAGAAGTCCCACACTTTAACCAGAGAGTATGGGTGAGTAGGAAGGGCTACAACCCTGCTGAAAGTACAACTCAGAATATGAAGAACATTCTGAAAGGTGGCTGGGCAGAAAGCTGCATCTGATAAACAGTCCCCTTCTGGAAAAAACCCTCCCCCAGCCCAGAGGAAAGGAATCCTGTCCTGACCTGGTCAGCCCACTACTAACTTCCTTCCCCAACTAACATCTCCTAAGTGTAAGGCACCACACCAGGCCATGGCACAACAGAAGGCAGACAAGGCTGCTCCCTGCCCCCACCAGACTCACTGATCACGGGAGAGAAAGACTAAGAATCAACTACTGATAGGGCAGAGGAAGGCCAGGTTACCATGGCAGCCAATGGAAGGCTTCACCACCAGCTTGGGACTAGAAGAGCCCATGGAAGGGTTCAAGCTAAGCTGAGATCTTACAGATAGAAAGTTAGCAAATGGGAACACTGGGATGGGGCTCCAAACAGCATTGCCAGGAACCCAAAGTGGGTGAAAGCATAGCACATGCTAGAAACTAAAAGTGCAATAAGATACAAGGAGTCAATCACTTGTCTTTCCCCTCTAGGTGGAAGGATAATGCGGGAAACAGAGGCTTAGGTGACAGTCCTCTGAGAACAAGAAAATTAAATGATGATTTATAATAAAAAATAAAATCCACCGTGACATCTTTATGCATGCAAAAGAGGAGGACGGTGTAGGGAGCTAGCAGCCAGCTGTCTAAACAGTGCTGTCCAACGGCACTGCAGTCGCAGGAGAGTTCTTTATCTGCACTGTTTTCTACGGTAACAACTGGTGACAGGTTGCCCTCTGAGTATGTGAAGTCTAGCAAATGAGACTAAGTGAATTTTAAAATTTCAATGTTACTTTAGTTCTTCATCTTCCTTTTTGGTGCATAACTAGGAATCGATCCTATGGATTTGTTTGTGGTGGGTAAGTACTTACCCACCAATGTGCACTCCTGGCCCTGAATGTATTTTAATTAATGTGCATTTCAATTTAGATAGCCACCGGGCTACTGGCTGTCATATGAGGTGATAAAGTAAATGTCGCTTGGACTTTTCCTAATGTCTGGCAGTCCAGATGGTAATACATTGGAAGGAACCACTAGTAGGACGGAGAGGCGAGGGCATCAGAGCTGAGCACACCGATGGGGTGTAGCCCTGCTCACCCGCATCCCCGCACTTTCAAACAGTATTCTTAGTTGGCGGTAGGTCAGGGTAGGGTGCTAGCCCAGCATGGGTGAGGTCCCAGGTTCAATTCCCAGCACAAAAAGTATCCCTTCTTTACTGATATTATAAAAATCAATCAATTAAAAGCTACACAGTGAGGGCAAACAACGAAGCCTTATGGATCTAGAAAGGCAGGTTCCAGACAGAGAGAATTTTCTGCATGATCTGTTCATATGAAGTGACAGACAGGCAAGATGCACCCATGGTCACGAAGCCAGGACTCCAGTGTCCTCTGGGGTGTGGGAGAGGAGCCTCTGGGGGCCAGAAGCTTCTACGTCTCGGTCTGGAGTGATTGCACGGATGTGTGCATGTGCATATTTAAGATTTTTTTTTACCTTACAGTAAAGTTCTGTTTAAATACAAAGAAATCAAACCAGAAATAATAGTAAAATAAATCCTACTCAGAACCCTTTGCTGGTCACGTGCTCACTCAGTTTCTCTGACATGCAGCCTCATGGATGCCAGGGCCTGGGGTAGAGCTCAGAGGCAGAGCACTTGCCTCCCATGTGCAAAGTGCTGGGTTCGAGCCCCAGCAACTTTTTTTTAAAAGTCAAAAGGTGTATATT